TTGAACAGGACTTATTTTAAATGAAAACAAACATGAATTTTATTAGTCTTTATCGTTATTTATATATATATCGTAGAAATCAATTGTTAATTCGTCGTTTTGTTATTTATCTTCTTCTTCTGATTTTATATGAGTTATTATATTTTAAAAGCCTTCTATTTACAAAAGGAATTAATTAGTACATATATTAGATATATATTGCAGGTTTTTATAAGATATTTTAGCATAAATGCTTATTTTTCCTATGTCTGAGACGTTTATTCCTGTAAGCTTTAATTTAGAGATTGTTGTTTATAATTTTTTAAAGGTTTTTTATTATTTTTTTATATGTTTTATTGATTTTTGTTTGTTTATTCTTTGCTTTAGTTATCTATTAGCTTTGTTTAATAATTGGTTCTTTCATTTTCGACTTCTTCTTCATCTAAATTATTGGTTTCTATTTAGTCTTAGAACTTTATTTTTTTATTTTTAGACCATTTACTATTATATATTTTGTTATTTTTATTCTTTTTTTTAAAAAAATAAAAATACTCTTCGGCTCTATATGTTAATAATAAATGCAGTTTTGTAGAAAATTAGTTTGTTGTAAATATTACTTCATGACTAGAAAAAAATTCTATTTAATCGTTTTTATTTTCTTTCCATTCTACTTCTGCAAAGTTTATTGTTTATGATTAATTAGCCTTTTTTTATTAAAAAAAATAAATATGTTATAAATATATAAATGCAATTATAATTTATTATTATATATTTATATAAAGTAAATTATTTCATATATATATTTACATTTTGTAAAGCATGTTTTTTAGTATTTTATTTATATTCAACTAATGAAATATTCGCATATATATTAATTTCAATATAGTCTAAAATATTATTGGTTTTACAAACAAATACAGGCCCAGAATTATCAAATTAGAATTTTTTATCACCAGTAAGAATTTCATAAAAGCATTTTTTTAGTTTTTAATTCTCTATTTTTTAAATTTTAATACTAACAATTCCTTAGTATTTTTAAGTAAAAAAATTATTTAAAAAAACCAATTACATAAAAAGACTTCCTTTTTTTTAATTTAAATCAACTTCGTCATGAAATGTTTAATTTATACACGTAGGTTTATTAACTATAAGTTCTTATATTTCCAATTATAAATCGATAATGCCACCTATAATATCTTCAGTATTTGAAATTATATTTTTTAGAACAAAAGACAAAATTCTTCGTTATAAATTGCTTGTATCGACTAAAAATTTATAATTAATTTAAGTATTTGCAGATTAAAAAGATTTAGTTGATTTTTATATTGGTTCTAAATAAATATAACCTTCTTTTACATTTTTAAAGGCAAAAAGATCTATTTTAAATAAAATATAACTATATATATATATATAAATATATATATATACCTTATCCACTTAAAATATTAATTTTAAGAACTCCTTTATAATTTAATTAATTTGCATATTTAATATTTGGATTCATTATTATTTTATTATCTTAATTAAAAAACTCAAATTAAACTTTTAAATTACCATTTTATTAAAGCCAATCTTTAGACATTAATTATATTTCTTCTGATGCTTTTTATTTTGTTATTATATCTATTAGCCTATATTTTTATTAAGCCGCTAATGTATCATTAAATAAATTATTTTTTTCGAATATACATATATATAATGATTCGGATTCGCTTAGATCTTTTATTGGAAATGAAAAATTACTATTCCATGTTAATTATTCCGAATTTTCACAAATATCAGTTCTAAATAAAGAACCTGCAATTACTAATTATCTTTATTTAATATTTTATTATTATTAAAGTTTTTTTTTTTTTATATATTTTTATATGATTTTTTTGTTTTATACACATATGGGTATGGCTTTCCAAAAAGGGAATTAAATATTATTTTTGAACCTTCTTATACTTAAAAACTAAGAATTCCATTCGGAAGGGATTATTATGACATTTTTTATGGTTTATTTTTGTTTTGATTTGTTTTTTTTTTTAAAAAAAAAGTAATTTAAAATATTTTATATATAAAATTAATTATTTAATATATATTTTTTATTTATTTATTAATTAATAAAAATACGTATATATATATATAAATTAGATTTACATATTTTTTATAAATTTCCAAATTTATTTATACTTATATAAATGAATTTTTTTAATTACATTATTATCCTTATTTAAATGTAAATAATTAAATATTTAATATATAAAAATCTATATTATATATTATATTTACATATTATAATTTTTTATAAATCTTTAAATATTTTTTTTTTTTTAAATAATAAATTTATATGAAATAATTTACTTTTATTATTTTAATTTTGAATAATATATTTAATTTATAATAGTTTAGTTTTATTTTTTAACAAAAATATTTAAACTTATTATGTTTATATGAATTTATAAAAATAAAATAAAAAATATAACTATAATCTTTTAATATTAAAATATATTTCTAATATAATTTTTTTTATAATAAAAATTTAATAAGATATAAATAATAAAAATATATTAATATACAAAAAATATTGGATATAAAAAATATATATTTATATATATAAACAATTTTATATATATATATTTAAATATTTCATAAATTATAATTTACTTTAAATAAAATATTTCTTTATTATAATTATTTAATTAAAATATAAAAAATATTCAAAATGAAAGAATTTAGTAAAATTAATCATCTATTTAAAATAAAAAGCAATTCTTTAAAAATAATAATAATATCAATATAAATATCAAGAGCAGCAATTATATAATCATCCATTGTATATTTAATTGATTTTTCACATGTAAGTCTTTAAATATCAAATATCAAATAAAGCAAAAAAAGTCCAATAATAGCTAAACTAGCAATAATTTAAGCAATATTACTATTTCTTCCATTTGTAAAAATTAAAATAACTATAACAGCAATTGGAAGATAGAAAAAAATCGATATTTTAATCGTAATATCGTACTTAGTGAAAAAAGCATAAAGAGTCAAAAGCAAGACTATCAAAGTAGTTAGTCCTGCGGTTAATAAAACTATATATGGTTCAACTATTCCACATACATAGCTTAATAAATAGCTTTCTGAGAGTGTAAAAATAAAGAGGAGGATGTAGTTTTTGGGTACTTATTTACAATGATTTCGATAACAGTAAAGTATGAATAATATTACTAAATTTGAAAATATACATATACTTAAAATCCATTTATTATCTTTTTGGAAATCCCTGTATTTTTCTTGAGATACAGCTAATGCTATTATAGACATTGTAATTAATAATTAAGTAAATATTATTCCTAATACTTTTCTTATAAATGCTCTTCGAATATTATTATCTGAAAAAATAGATGTTATTTCTGATAACTTAGGAGAATTCTCTATATCTATATTATTATTATTATTTTGACTTTATGTTTTTATGTTCTATTTTTTTCTTAATTTTAATTGTATTTTAAGTTTGTTTTTAGTTTAATGTTGGAGGATTTTATAAATTATTTTCTTCGTTTTATTTGATTTTAGATACTGGAGAATTCGAATATCGATCTTAAGCGTAGGCATTTTCGAAGTCGTTTAAGTTTATTTTATCGTCTAGTTTTATAATTATCTTATTTAATTAGTTTTTTTAAGTAATTTCGATTAGATTTTAGAGCTTCGGATATTGTAGTAGTTTGTTAAGTTATGGTATTACTGTAATTTGAGGGGTTTATAATCATATTTTTTTATTTTTATTATTATTAGTATATAATTTAAAACTTAATTTCTATATTATTTTTATAATTATTATAATTTATATATTTTAATTTTATTTTTCATATTTTTTTTTTTTTTTTATTAATTTATTGAAATAGAATTTTTAATATTAAACTTTTTTTAATTTATATTTTTTTTTATGCTCTTTGTTAATAAAATTAGAAATTATATAAATTATTTTATATAATTTATTTTTATTAATAAAATTATATAATGTATATGATTAATGATTAATAAATTAGTTAATGCATATAAAAATAAAAATAAAAAAATTTGACAAATTAATTTTTTAAAATATATAAAAAAAAAAAATTATTGTCAAAAATCTTTTTTTTAAGTTTTTTAAGTTTTATTATTTTTTAAAAATATTTAAAAGTAATATAGATTATTATATTTATTTCTTTAAGAATTTACTTTGTTAAAGTATATAAATTATATTAAAAATCAAATTAAAAAAATAAAATCCATAATTATTATTAATAATTTACATTTTTTTCAACAATTTATTTATTCTCTTATATTTATCTAAATTAATTAATAAAAGATATAAGCCAAATATAAATAAATTTTAAATAATTAAAAATCATAATTATTTTAAAAAATTCTATTTTAAATTTTTATACAAAAAAAAAAAAAAATTGATAAAATAGTATAAGAAAATAAAATCCATAATTATTATTAATAATTTACATTTTTTTCAACAATTTTATTAATAAAAATAATTTTATTCTCTTATATTAAAAAATATCTTTTAAAATATATTTTTTTTTATTAATTAATAAAAGATATAAGCCAAATATAAATAAATTTTTAAATAATTAAAAAATTCATAATTATTTTAAAAAATAAAAAATCTATTTTATTAATTTTTATTTTCAATAAAAAAATATAAATTTGATAAAATAGTATAAGTATTAAATATAAAAATTTATATTAAAAAAATATATGTATAAAAAATTTATATATAGAAATATAAAATAAAAACAGAAATATATATATATATATATATATATTTATATATATATTTATATATTAATACATATATAATAAGCATTAAAATAATTATTATTTAATTTAATATTAAATATAAAAATATATAAATAATATATAAAATAAATCTTCATTAAAATATATTTTCAAAATAAAAATAAATTAAAATTAATATTTATATGTCATTTCTTGATAGTAATTAACGCATTTAAATTTCATCCAATTTATAAAATGATTTTATGGATAATAAAGATTAAGATGAATTATATGGTTTTGAAGAGCCAGTAGATGATTATAGTTCTCTTTTCGAAATAAAAAATGTCGTTTTATATAATTTTTAACTTCCAATAATGTTTTTGAGTTTATCTCGTAAAACCATAATAGCAATAACCGAAGAAAATTAATTAATAAGATGGAAATTCGACGTGTATTATTTTATTTATTTTTTACCTAAAAAGAAATAATAAAAATAATTAAAATAGAGGATTAAGTGTATATGAGCAATTAAAAATTCCTAAAATAAAGGACGATAGATCTTTAGGAGGAAAAATAGCAAATGTAGGTGGTAAAATAATACCTTTTGGAATGTTAAAAAAGATGCAAGACGATCGAAAAGAAGAAAAAATAAAATAAAAATAAATAGAAAAAATATTCCAAGATACAGAAGGTAATCATTGTATTATTACAAATAATTACGGCGATAATTATTATTTACATTACGATTCTACAGAAGTTATACATATGGCTGAATTTAAATAAATTATTATGAGAGCTATTAGCTTTGATGATCGTTATTAATAATAAAATCAGTTTTTTTTTAAAAATATATATTTTTATATATATATATATATATATATATATATTATATAATTATTTTTATTTTTATTTATTTTATATATATAAATAATATAAATAGATTTTAAAGCAAATATTTTTTATGCGGAAATGAAAAAAATGAAATTTATAGTTCATAAATAATATATAATGAGACTTTGAAAATATTTTAAGATACAAAAGCTGAATTAGTTTTAAAAATCGATTCTGGAAAAAGGGATAGCATCTAAAATATAAAAATAATTAATATTAAATATGAAAGGGAAACCTAAGCAACTATGATATTTATATGTACAGGAATGTAAATTTATTTTTTATTCTAATCAGTTTAAGGTTTAGGAAAATAAATTGTTTTAGATGACCTTTTACTTTCTTATAATAATAATAAAATATTAAACAATGGAACTCCAACACATTCCGGTCATTAATGTTTTATTGATGTCAGTTTTGATTATAATGAATAAAGAGCCAAAAGTCTTATTTATACTAATGGAAATAATTTATCATATTATACGTTCCCTGAAGAAATGAAAATTGATGAAAACTTTCATAGAAACATAAAGTTTTTTAAATTTGCAAAATAACCAAATTAAAAATAAGATGTAAAATTAGAAAGTTCTCCTTTAGGAATAGGAATCACACTTTTCCATTATGTTATTTTAAATAGTGATTCAGTAACAGTTATGTCTTAAATTACAGAATAAGTAGTATTTTATAAAGATTTATCTTAAATGGGTTAAGTTTTAGGAATAATTAATGACATGTAAATAGTATAAAAATTTAATATGATATATATATATATATATATATATATATATATATATATATATATATATATATATACATAAATTAAATATATATTTAATTTTAAATATAATTAGGGAAAACAATTCATTTTGGATTTATTCAAAAAAATAAATAATAAAATTATGTATAAATGACGAACTTAAAGAAGCTTGGAGAATGTATTTATATTAAGGAGATTTCCAAACTGCTTATAATATATGTAAAAAAGATAGAAATGAATATTTAGGGATGGTTAGCATTAAATATGGTGATTAGCTTTTCGAATAAAATAATTATATTAGAGCTGCTGAGGTATATTTTGATAGTAGTTTAAGTTTAGAGGATATTTTTGTGAAATTTTAGAAAAATGATATTAGAGTAAAGGATGGATTATATACCTATATAAATCTTTACATGGTAAAATTTTAATTATAAATGGAGAAGTTTCATTAAAGTGTACTTTTAAGTTGGATATTAGAATATTGGGTACATAAATTAGTGTTCATACAATAGAAATGTAAAATGGATATGACAAATAAAAGTATTAATCCTTAACAATTAAAAGAAAATTTTTAAAATAGATAATAAGAAATAAGGGATGTGTAGAAAGACCTGAATATTTTTATTGGATAATAAATAGATTTAATAGATGAGAATTATATATATGAAATATTAAACTCATATGCATAAATTGAATAAACAATTAATTTTGCTATACTTTAAAATAATTATTAGCTTGTGCTTTTAAATTATATTTATGATAATAAAATCGAAAAGGCAATTTAAGTAATGAAAAACGAAGTTTAAAATAATCCAAAAAACGAGAAAAACATTAGGCATTTTGCATATAAGTTTTCATCCATTCTAATGAAGAAAAAACCTGAACTTTTCATTGATTTATTAGTTAAAAATATACCAAATTTCGACTCTTCGAAAATCGCGAGTAGTTTAATGGAAATAGAACCGAAATCAGAGTAATTTAAGGTCGTTTTTGAGTTTTTAGAATATTGTATTTGCCATAAAAAATCTTCGGATCTTGTTTTGAATAATATATATTTGTTTTTCCTTGTAAATAATCCTGATACTAATAAATTTACTAGTTATATTGTAGAATAAGAAAAAAAAGTATGGGAGGAAGCCCCTTTTTTGATATAAATTTTGCATTTAGATTAGCAATTTCAAACAAAAAACATAGCGCTTTAATTTCTTTATATTCGTAAATTTTATGTATATTATATAATATATTATTTTTTAAATTATAGTATTATGGGATTTTATGACGAAGCTGTAGAAACTGCTCTTTAATATAATATGATTGATATAGCTAAAAAGTATGCTTTAATTTAAGAATAAAAATGTATAAATACACATTTAACATGGATGAAAGTAATAATATATAAACATATAATTAAAAAAAAAAACTATAGATAATTAATTATTATATGAAAAAAATCCTGAAGGAGCTATGGAAGAAATATAAAGTAAAAAAAAATAAAAAAAATCAAATTTATAAATAAAAAATAGAAAATACTTTAATAAACTGATAATGTAAAATTCGAAGATTTAATTCCTTTATTTAATAACGATATGCCTTTATCATAATTAAACGGAAAACTAGAAGAAAGTTTAAAAGGATATTAATAAAATATAAAAGAAATGAAAGAAGAATTAGATTGTATAAGTAATAATCTAGAATAATTAAAATAAGACTATAATAAAAATTAATTTAAATTTCTAGAAGTTAATTCGAAAACTAATTGTTCTGAATGCAAAAATATCCTTTTTATTTAAGATTACTATGTATTTAATTGCAAGCATTTTTTCCATAAAAATTGTCTTATTAATTATATTAATTAGTAGTAAATTTTCGATAAAAATACTCTTGAGTAAATTGGGTATATAAATAAAGAAATTTAATAATTAATAGGTTAAACTAATTATAAGGATTTGAGTGGGATTGTGGATTTCTATTATGATAATAATAAAAAAAATAAAAAAATTAAGATTTGAATAAACTTAAGCAATTGTAAAATAAATTAGATGAACTTATTGCTAATTAATGCCCTAAATGTGGACCAATTATTGTTTAATTGGCTTTTACTTTATATGAGGAAGACTCTTTATTAGAAATTTGAATATTTATTATTTTTTTTTATATTATATATATATTTTTAATTTTATTAAGCTTTTTTTATTTATTATAAATAAATTAGTTGTATTTTTTATTTAATTTTGTTTTTAAATTTTTGTATTTTATTTTATTAAATTAAAATAAAATAAAATAAAATATTAAGAGATTAAAGATATTTTTAAATTATATTTTAAAATATATATATATAATATATATATATATATATATATATATATTTATATATATATTTATGAAAACTATTATTATTTATTCCTAAACTTTAATTATTTTTAAAAACCTAATCGAAAAAAGTAAATATATGGAATAAATCAATCATTGCCTAATTTTTTTATTTCTAAAATTCTAAAAAGTGAAACATATATATATTCATATATAATTTTATATCAGGTATATAAAAAGAAATTTTTAATAATTTATTTTTATATTAAATAAAAACATATAAAATTAATTAAATTTTTATATGTTTTCTTAATTAAAAAAAAACAAAGAAAATAAAAAGATAAAATATCATAAAAAATTCTATATAAACATTTTTTTTTTTCAAAAAATTGTATTTTTTAATTTATTCAAATAAACAAACAAAAATACAGCATTATTTAAAATTAAAATCTCGTTAAATAAGAAAGCAAAAAAAAAGAAAAAAAGAAGAAAAAAAGAAAAAGTATGTCATCTCAATTAAAATACAAAATAAACGATTTAAAATTTGATTATAATGAAAAACCGTCTTTTTAAGATGGAATTTCATCTTATTTTTAGACATTTGATAATCCAAATGTAATTTTAGAATAGATATTAATCGAAAGTGAATCTGAACTATTTTATTTATTTACCGAATATAATAAAATAACAAGCTCAAACATATATACATTACCCAATATAATGAAATATTATGACTACTAATATGATAAAAAAACCCGCAGTTTATTAGTTTTGCGTCATTTTTATCGCAAAACATTAGATTTTTGCATTCAAGCCCGTCGAGCACGAAAACAACACTTTACATAATCCGAAATATTAGATTTAACAGGATAATTATTGAAAGTATTAACCCATTTGGAATCAAATGATATAATTTTGCTAAATTTAAAACCCACAAATATATTTACAGATTCCGAATTAGTTTATATAGTAGGCGGAATGGGTAGAAGTGATAATAATATATGGTTAAATACAGAATATATGGCCCCCGAATTAATAGAAGACTTAGAATTAAGAGGCGAATAATTGCCTCAACATTTAAATAAAAACTATTAGAAAAAAAAGGCTGGCGTTTTTACATTAGGGATGATTTTATTAGAATGCGCATGTTTATAAGATATTAGTGATGTAAACAAAATAGAAAATTTTTTTAAATAAAATAAAAAATTGAGCTCATTTTTAGATTTAGTGGAGGAGAAATATTAAGGATATAGACTTTTTATTGAGAGTATGTTCCTATAATATGATTCTAGACCGGATTTAATTGAATGTTGGTGCATGTTTTAAGATATGAGGGTTGAAAATGGTAAAATTCTAATTGGAGATGTTTGGAATAGTATAGTTTAGAAAAAAATTGAAGATAAAAAAGAAGATAATGATGATGAGATAATTAAAAAAAAGAGAAAAATGAAGTTTTAAGAGAAAATTAACTTTAAGTTCTTAAAAAGAATGAAATTTAATAATAAAACAAAAAAAGAAGTAATACTTAAAAAAAAGAACTGGTGGTGGATATTTATATAATGTTAAATAAAAAAATTTAAAATGATTTAATTATATATATATGTAAATTTATCTTTTCATTTTATTATAATTTATTAATATTTTTTTTGTTTAATTTAGGTAATATAAAATATATATAAATATTATATTATATATATATTATTTTTGTACTTTTTTTGTTTTCAATCATCATCTTAATTATCGTCTTCATCATTATCATCTTCTTCTTATTAATTAAATTCTTAAATTAAAGAACTGATTTTTTATTTAAGTTTTTCTTCATTCAAAAAAGTAAGAGACTCTAACATTTAAATAAAAGTGTCATAATTATTATCTGACTTCAAATAATTAATAAGTTAAATTTCTTTCTAGGCTAAAAAGAACATATAAACAATAAGACTTAAATTAATCCTATTAGTATGGTGGAAAAGGTTTAAAATATCTTAAGAGATTACATTAAATGATAATTAAATCATTTATTCGCAATTTTATTCATTAATAGAGTTATTATATTTTAGATTTTTAAGATTATCCTTAAAATTATCAGAATAATTATTAATGGATACCATTGTATCTTATTCGTAAGTTAATTTTACATTTTAATTGAATTTTTCGAATTATTAAGAATTAAAATATTACTTAAGTATTTCGTCTGATAAATTTTATTGCATATTATGCTCTTTTAAAGTTTCAGAAATTTTTTTTTGGGGACTAAGAGCTAGTTCTTTTAGAGTTTTATTCTCTTTTATTAATAAAGAGTACATTAAAATTATTAAAGATGTCTAATTGCTTTATTTCATCTGAATATCGTGTTTTAAAATTGCGTCTTAAATTCCTTTCCATATAGTTCTGTAGATTAAACTGAATTGAGTTAATAATCTATATGTATTATGAACTATTCTTATTACTTTTTATTTGAACATATTTGCAAATTGTATTTAATAATATGGTGAATTCTATATTGAAACGTCATTATCGTTTTAGTTTAAACTAGCCAGATTTTCAATTTAAGGAAGATTTACTTCTTATATTTCTATTTAATTCAACTGTGGATCATAATTACTTATATTAATAATTTAATTAGTATTCACACTATTTATTAAAGGATTTTAATTATTATTCTTGCCAGAAATACAAACATGCTATGCTACCTAAAATATATATATATATATATATATATATATATATATATATATATATAAATATTAAGTATATATACTTAATTCCAATCATATCTTTTATTCTCATCTTTTTCAAGCATGTGTTTTAATAAATCTTTTACAGCCTCTGATCTTTTTACATTTAGATTAGGATTAAGATCTAATTATTTTCTCATGACATTATCATATAACTAATCAACATTATCAGCATAGAAGGGAAAACATTAATAAAGCATATAATAAAGGCAAACACCAGCACTCCAGACATCACCTTTCATTAAATTATATTCGCCATGAAATTAAAGAGCTTATGGACACATAAATATTGGAGTTCCAACTACTGTATTTTTAGTTTAGTTCTAATTAACTTCTTTTGCAAAACCGAAATCAGCAAGTTTTAATTAATTATTTTTTAATAAAATATTCGCAGGTTTTAAATCTCTATGGACTATATTTTTTTTAGTCAAAAGTTAGAAGGCATCTACTATTTAACGAAAAAAATCTAAAACCTCAGTTTCAGATATTTATTTATGTTCTTTTAAATATTGCTCAAGATCCCCTCCATCGCAATATTCTAAGAAAAAATAATATCTAATTTAATATAAATATTATATATATATATATATATTATTTTACATTTTTTGGAGTTTCTTTTACATCATAAAAATCTATTATAAAAGGATGCTTAACTTTTCTTTATATACCAATTTAGCGTCGTATTTATTCAACTTATTTATCATATAGTTATTAATCGCCTTAACATGATTAAAGTATTTAGTCCTTTATGATTGTTTTGGCAGCAACTGGAGTACCGTTTTATAAAAAGGCCTAATATACTGTAGCATATTGACCTTTACCTAACACAGTGTTGTGTATTATGAATTATCCTACTTGCTTTTATGTCCAACTTTTGTCCATTTTATTATTTTTGTTTATTTAATTTTTTTTTTATTTAATTTTATATAATTATTTTTATTTTATTTATTTTTACAAAAATTATGTATTAAAAATAAATTATATTAAAAAATGTGTTTATATAGTTTTAATATTTTACTTTTTAATATATATATATTTGTAAAATTTATAATTTTTTTTTTAAAAAAATCTTTTAATATTTATATATGATATAAAAAATTTAAAAAAATAAATAAAAATATTAAAGAATTTTTTATTTCCATTATTATAGGAATGAAAAAAAATTAGAATTTAAATATTTTTTTTTATTTATTCATTATGTTAGATTATATGAGATTAAAATAAGAAAAAATTAATACTAAAAAGAAATTTTATTTATAGATAAGATTTTAGTTAATAATTAAACATTTTTTTATTTGTGGTTAATATTAATAAGGAATAAAAAAGTTAAAAAATTGATTTATATATATATATATATAATATTTTTTATTAAATATTAAAAATTAAAAAAATTAAATTATAGAATAATATAAAATAATTTAATAATTAATAAAAAAATAATATATATCATAAAAAATATATAAATTTTATATATTATTTAATTATAATAATATAAAAAATATTTTTAAATATAATTTTTTTTAAAAATTAATAATAATTAAATAATATATAAATTTATATTTTTTATATTATTATTAAAATTATATTAATTTTAATAATTTATATATTCTTTTATTTTAATAATTTATTTTATTTTAAACATTTTATCTTTAAAATTTTTTATTATATATTTATTGATTTAAAAAAATAAATTAAAATATAAATATAATATAAGTATAAAAATAAATATATATAAATTAACTTATATTATAATTTCAATTTTTTTTTTTTTACTATTTTTAATAAATTAAATCAAATTAAAATATACTATTTTCTCATTTTTCTTTATATATATATAGTTTTCGATAAAATTGGTTGCCATATATAAATAATTATTTGTAACTATATATAAAATAAAAATATTTTTTTTTTATTTATTTTAAAATTTATTTTTTTGGTAATTTTCTTTTTTTTAAATATCCATAATACAAATATATTAAAATAAAATATGTCTGATGATTGTAATGAAAATTAATTCCCAACATAAAATGTTTCATATGTATTATCCCAATCTGGTCTCTAAATTCTTAATGGTCTTTAAGGAATATTTGTGAAATAAAAATTTGAGGCTTTAGAGGTCTTATTAGGTTGTGATTTTCCAAACGTTTACAAAGTATTTGCCATAGACTCCAATGGAGTAAAAATAGGTCAGTTTCCATTATTTAAATGTAAAGAAATAAGTAATTGTTGTGTTCGAAATTTTCTTCCTGGAGACTGTCGTCCTTTCTAAATGCAAGTTAGTAATAATTTAGGTCAAGTAGGCTAAGTAGGCTTTGAAAAATCTATGTTTATGATTCTTGAAAGACCTTTTAAATGTACTTGCTGTTGTTTAAATAGACCTATTTTAGATGTTAATATAGTGGAAAACGGTAGTTCATAAAATGGTGTTATTGGTAGGATTTTTAGTCCATGCTTAGTTTGTAGTCTAGGTGTGGATATATAAGATGCACAAGGAAATCTGAAATATTAAATTGAAGGTAATATCTGTCAAGCAGGTATTTGCTGTAAAGCATTACCATGTGACAGCTGTTAAACTGTAAATTTAGAACTAAAAGGACCAGATGGAAATATAATTTCTTAAATCACTAAAACTACAGCTGATTGTTTAATATCTTATATATCAGATACTTCGAATTTTTAAGTATAATTTCCTACAGATGCTTCAGCAGAAGATAAAGCACTTATATTATCAGCAACTTTATTTTTAGATTTTATGTATTTCGAAGAAAATAATTAAAATAGAAATAGAGTAGATGATTGAAGAAATAAATAGTTATTGATTTTTAATATTAAAAAATGTATTTTATTATATATAAATTAATTTATATAAATATAAAATATTAAATTATAAATTATATAATAATTAAAAAAAAAAATTTTAATAAAATAAATATATTTAAATATATGTTAAAATATGAAAAAAAATAGGTATAAAAATAATTATATATATATATATATATATAAATATGAATATATATATAATTTTATTTAATAATATAATATATTATTATTATTTATTAAAATAAAATAAATATAGACTATTATTTCTTTTATTATAAATTTGTTAACATAAAAATATTATTATATATTTTTCTAATAAAAAAAAAATATATATATATTATATTGTTAAAATATAATGAAATATAATTTGAAAATAGATATATGTATAATTTCATTAAATTAATAAATTATATAATAAAATTATTTAATACGATATATATTCTTATACTTATTTAAATAAATATTTTGCTTAAATAAAAAAAAAATATTATTAATATCATAAAAATTTAATTATATTATTTTAAAATTAAAAATTATTATATATTTAATCAGATAAAATTATATATATTACAAATAATAGATTTTATTCTATTTTTTTGTTTTAAAAAAATAAATTTTAAATATATATATATATATATATTAATTTTTTTTTTTTTATATATAAAATATATATTTATTAGATATTTAAAAAATTAAAAATAATAGAAAAAAAGAAATTTTATAAAAATTCTATATTTGGAATTTTTTATATAAAATATTTATAATATTATATATATTGTTTAAAATATGTTTTCGTTATGAAAATATGAGTGAGGATTTGGGCATAATGTTATTTTTGAAAATTGAGTTTATTAAAAACATGTTTAATATATAAAAAATATTTTTAAATAAATTTGATCTTTTATTATTTTTTAAATAAAATTATTATAATATATTAATAATTATTATTATAGATACAAATTAAATTATTATTTATATTTATATATTTTTTTTTAAAATAAATATTTAGTAATAATTTATTTTTAATTTTTTGTTTGATGAATTATTATTTACTATGCTTTTGAAAGTAAAATTTATATTTACAATTACTTAATTATTTTTTATTATAGAAGATAAAAAATAATAATATAAATTATAAAAAATATATAACAATTTAATTTTTTATTTTTTATTTTTTTATATATATATATATATTAATAAATAAAAATAATTCAAATATTAATTATTATAAAATTAAAATTAAATTATATAAAATTTATTTACATATTTTTACATTTATTTAATATGTAAATATTTTTTAATTTATTTAAATAAATGCATTATTTTTTATATATTTAATTATGAAATAATTTTTAAACTTAAATGCATTCATTATTTTTTTATGAGTGTTAATATTTTTTTTTCATTCAAAAGATCTATATTTTTATAAGGAATAAATATAGACAATTTTATTCAATAAATAAGGCATTTATATGTAATTTTTTTATATATAATTTTTTAATATATAATAATTTTGATGTTAGGTCTAGTACCCTATTTGTAGTGAATTATATTTTTTCTAAATGCCTGAAAATTAAATTTTTGGACAAACATATAATTTTAGAAATAATGATAATATCATTATGGAAGTTAAAAACATGCATTTTAGATAATGAATATGAATACTATTATTTATTTTTGTTATTGGGTTTGCTTTGATTTAATTTCAATATTCTATAGGATATTGTGGAATGGGTGGGTATTATTATGCTTTGACATATTAGTTATTAATTTTTTTTTTTTCAGAAATAAATTTATATTTTATATTTTTTTCGATAGTTCATATTATTTATAATATATTTTTTTTCGTTTTAATTTAAAATATTTTTTTTATTAAAATATTGATATTAATATATTAATATTAATATAATTTTTAAAATAATTTATATAATTAAATATTTATATATTATATAATATCTTTAAAAAAAATTAATTTAATTATTTTATATCATTTTATTTAATATAAACTTAATTTATATCAATTTTTTAAATAATAATTTTATTATAGTTTAATATATTTTTATGGTATTTAATTTATAAAAAATAAAAATACGTAAATATAGAAATTTATTATATTTTTTGTACAATAATTTCTCAGGATATTTATTTTTAATGAAAAAATTATTATATGGTTATAAATTTTTAAAAAACTTATTTTAAATTTTATAAATAAAAATCCATAAATATTTATTAATAAAATATTAAATTATATATAATATTAATATTCATGTATATTGTTTTTTTTTTTTAATATTGAAATAAAATTTATATATCTATTTAAATATAAAATTAAAATAATATTTATTCAAAAAAAATTTATTTTACTATATAAAATTTAAAAGAAAAATAAATATATTTAAAAAAATAATTAAATAAAGGAAAAAAAATAAATATTATAAATTAATATATAAAAATAAAAAATAATTTAAAAAAAAGCAAAAAAAGAAAGAAAAAAGTAAAGCACAAAATGTCTGATTTAGATATTGACCAACATTTAGAAAAGCTAGCAAACTCCAAATATTGTATACCCGAGCGACAATTGCGTCTCATATGCGAGAGAGTAAAAGAATTATTAGCTGAGGAATCAAACGTTTAACCTGTTAACTCTCCTGTGAACATATGCGGAGATGTACACGGTTAATTTTTCGATGTTCTAGAGTTATTTTAAAAAGGAGGAGAAATACCTAATAGCCGTTATATATTTATAGGAGATTTTGTAGATAGAGGACATAACTCTGTTGAAACAATAGAATACTTAATATGTTTAAAAGCAAGATATCCTGAATGCATTACATTATTAAGAGGAAACCATGAATCTCGATAAACTACTTAGGCATACGGATTTTATGATGAAGTATAAAGAAAATATGGAAACATAAATCCTTGGCATTACTTTTGTGAAGTTTTTGATTATTTACCTTTAGGAGCTATCGTTGATGGAGAAATTTTCTGTGTACATGGGGGACTATCTCCAGATATTAAAACTGTAGATTAAATAAGAACTATTCATAGAAAATAGGAAATTCCTTTAGAAGGTGCTTTTACAGATTTATTATGGTCAGATCCTGTAATAGATTAATTAGATTATTTATATTTATATTTATATTTTTATATATTTTTTTTTAATTTAAAAAATAAAGGATGATGTTTCAACTTGGGCTATTAATAGTAGAGGAGCTGGTTGGCTTTTTGGAGATAAAGTAGTTAGCGATTTTAATCATATTAATGATTTTAAATTGATTTGTAGAGCACATTAATTAGCTCATGAAGGATATTTATATTGGTTTGAAGTAATTTTTTTTAGTTTTATATATATATATATATATATATATATATATATATTTATTTATAGTAAAAAAATCTCTGTACTGTTTGGAGTGCTCCTAATTATTGTTATAGAATGGGTAATAAAGCTTCTATACTTAAATTAGATGAAAATTTAGAAAGAGAATTTATTATTTTTACTGAAGTTGAATAATCTAGTTAGGCTGTTCCTCCAAGAAAAGCTTTACCTTATTTCCTTTGAAATTTGTTTTTTAACGAAACAAAAATTTGTTATTAAAAAATAAAATATATAATATGAAAAATATATATATTTATATATGCTTTAAATAAAAATATTATATATTTAATATATATCTTATTATTTCCATTTTCATTTTTTATATTAAATAAATATTGTTTAAAAAATATTATTATTTTCTTATAACTTCTTTATTTTATTTAAATAAATATTCTATATAATAATTTATTAATTTCTAATTTTTTTTAATTTTCATTTTAAATTTTTTAAAAAAAAAATAATTCAATTTTTAAAATGATTTTTTAAATTTTAAATTTTTTTCTTTTATTTTAGAAAATAAAAAAATAGGAATTATATTATTTATTGTTTTGTAAAAATAATTATTCTAAAAAACCAATTGTGAAACATTATAATATATATTGATTATTATAAAAGAATTCAATTGATTTTTTTATATTCAAAATTTAAATTTAGTATATTAAATAAAATCAATATTTTAATCTCCATTAAAATTATTAACCCAAGGACTAAATTATAAATATTCATTTTATTAAAAGTTAGTCTAACTTGTTTTTTCAATACATTTTTTATATGATTTTGGTTAAAATTAAATTTTTATTTTATCTTTATTAATATTTTTTCTTTAATTTTTATTTTAAATTAACTGATTTTTATTTAAGGAAGAAGTTTGAATATTTTATTTACTGTGTAAAAATTATGATTGAGTTTTAATTAATTTTTTTTACTTTTAAAAATCTTTCAGTTTCTATAATAATTCTAAATTTTAAGATTATTTATTCAAACTTTATGATATTTATTCTACTATTTCATTAGCATATTTATATTTTTGTTATTTTATTAGATTATTTAAATGGTTTTAAAAATAATATTCATTTTTTGGTTTATAATAGTCTTATATATTTTAATTTGTTTTATTAAAAATTCCATATTTTTTTATATTTTAATTATTATTTTTATGAAATTTCTAAAAATAATTATTAATTTCATTATTTTTATTATTAAATTTATTAGTTTTTATAAAATAATTTCTCATTATAAAAAAATCATCATTTTATTTTAATTCATCTTATATTTGATTTTCACTATTAAATTTTTTTAATTCCTATAAGCTTTAGATATTTGATTTTAAAAAATAATCATTTTTTTATTATTACTATTATTAAATAAAAGGAATAAATTTTTTATTTAATTATTTTTATAAATATGTTTTAGTTCTTTAACCTGATTAACTTATAGCCCTTTAGACATATATATATTTTATTTTTTATTCAGGATTATGTTAAATATTACTTATTTAACTTACTATTTATTGATCTAAATTATAACTTTGTTAGATTAATAGTTAGTCTTATTCATATTTATTTAATTACTTTTAATTGTCTTTAATATTTTATTAGGAATTCAAAAATATATTTAATTTAATATTATTAATGTTTTTTCGAGTAATTTAATTGTTTCTTTATATATAAATATTGTTTAATGAATTTCGTTCAGTATTAAATTTATTTTAAAAGTTATTTTAATGCAAATTATTGTATAAATTTAATTTCTAAACTATCATTTAATAAGAAAAAATATATTTTATTAATTTTTGTTTGATTTAAATATAAATATTATATTTTAAATCTTTTTTTAAAAAAATATATAAATATATAAATTAATTTTAATAAAAAAATAAAAGGGTATAATTAATATATATATATATTATTAAATATAATAATTTATGTAAATTTAATTATATAATTTATTTTTACGTATTTTTAATATAATTAATTATATATTTAATTTATTTAATAATATATATAATATTAATAAATATATCATTATATTTATATTAAATTAAAAATTTATAAATTTATAAATTATTTATTAAATTATATATAAATTTACTTAAGCAAATTATTTAGAGATAATCAGATTATTTAATTTTTAAAAGAAAGTTAAAATAAATATTGTAAAATATTATTATTATTATTTAAAAATTCGTTTAATTTAAATATAAAGTATAAACATTTATATTTATAAAATAAAATTATAAATAAAAAATAATATTTATATTTTATTTATAAATTTTATATAAATAGACAATATATTATTTTAATATAAAACAAATATATTAGATTAATATTATTTTAAATATAAAATAAATATATAAATATAAATATAAATATAAATATAAATATATTAAATATAAATAATTTTTATATCTATATTTATTTATATTTATATTTAAATTTATATTTAATTTTTTGTTTTCTTTTATTTGTATCCTATTTTAATTTGTTAATCTCATATTATATTTATTATCTAATACATAAAAATAAAACTTATATATTATATTTATTTTAATATCTTTATTAATGCTTATTTTTTGAATATCAATTTTTTTAAAATATTATATAATTTATAATTTCTTATTTATTTTCAATATTATTTATTTATATTATTAAAATATTAATATAATAAATTTAATAATTTTTCTTTGTATTTTTATTATAATTATATTAGATTATATTAAACTTTTTATATTTATTTTTTATATTTTATTAATTTTTACTAATTAAATTAATTTTTTTATTTTTCATTTTCTTATAATTTTGTTTTTAATTTAATAATTTTTTTAATATATTTTCATTTAAATAAAATATTTTATTAATGTTATTTTTTATTATAAATTACTTTTTCGTAAAAAACATTTTTGATTAATAAGTTATTTTCTTATCTTATTATCATTATCATTATTTAAAATTTATAGTTCAACATTTTAACAAAATTAATCTTTTTATTTTTATGAAAAAAACATTTTCTTAAACTTAATTATTTTCAATTTCTTTTACGGCCTTTTAGTTTTTATTTATTAGTTTCTGTTTTTAATTATTTAATTTATTATAAATATTTATATCTAATATTTTTCCTTAATTAAAATATTTATGTAAATTATAATAATTTAACCTTTTTTAAAAAAAATAAGAAAATTAGATTATTTTAAACTAATATAAATTTAGCTTGGCATTTATTACAATTTTTTCTAAAAAATTCAAATTATATGATTCTTATATGCTTTATTAAATCTTATATTTAAAAAAAATATATAAAGATTCTTTTACATATTAAATGTTAAAATAAATATATATATATATGATTTTTAAAAAAATTATAATAATTCTTAAATATAATATATATAAATTAAATATATTTTTAATAAATAATAAAAAAGAAAATCATAATAAAAAAAATATTTTTTTAATTTATATGATTATATTATATATATTTAATAGATTAATTTTCATATATTAAATTTTAAGTTATATATCATATCGCCCGCTTAGCTCAGTCGGTAGAGCGCAAGACTCTTAATCTTGTGGTCAGGGGTTCGAGCCCCCTAGCAGGCTTATTTTTTTTTATAATGTTTTTTTTAACATTATATATAAATATTTATTTTTTAAATAATTAATAAAATATAAAAAATTATATTTTTATTTATATATATATATTATATTATATACTTAAATTATATATATATAATTTTTTTAATCAAAAAATGGATAAATATATAAATTATGGTGATTATATAATATTATACACTTCCGATTATAAATATTTAATGGCACGTTCATTATAAGAAAATTAGGTATTTTTAGTCTAAAGTAGTCCCAATAATCTATTATAAGATGATATAACACACTATCCATATACATGTGATTTAATATTCGCTATATATCCAAAACATAATTATATTGCGTAAAAAATATATGAGAAATTCATAACTGCAAATGAAGGTAAATTATAATCAGTTTCTATATTAAAAAAGACTGAAACTCTATATAAACGAAAAGAAACCGAGAAATAATTAAATGATAAAATAATGAAATAATTAATAGGATAACCAATTACTATAGATTAAGAAATATAATTATATCATATATATTCAAATTCTTTTTTAAAAGCATCAAGTGAAAAATATAATGATTTATTTAAAAATGAAGAAAATATATAAGAAATTTAAGAATTTTCTAAAAATCTTTTTCTTTAAAATTATCAAAAATGTCATCCTCTTAGACTCATTTTTAGATAAAAATAAGCCCTTTTTAAATTTTTTAAAAAAACGGGGAATATATTTAATATTAGGATTTTTTTTATTTTTATAATTAAAAAAATGACTCGATTTTATAGAATTAAAATTTGCCAAAAATTCAATAAGTTTTTTCCAAAAAAAACATTAATATTAAGTAAAATCTATAGATTTTTTAACCAAAAAAAAGCCTTTTGTATAATCTATATACCGCAGGTCATAAAAAAAATTCCATTTAAATTTTCAGAGCTTTTTTTATAAGAGAAAATACATAAATTATAGAAATAAATAATATATAGAATAACTAAAATAACCAAAATTCGTAAAAAATTCTACATTATGGAGAATATGTAACTATAAAACACATCCGTAGGGACAACAAATCTTCCACAGTATTAATTTCCGAAAATAATCTTTGCGGATTTTACCCTAATGTACTTCTAATTAACGATAAACCTTATATATATCATGAATAAATACCTTCTTCGAGTATTTTTTAGATACTTCCGGTAAATGAAGACCTTTTAGGAACCCCTATTATGTTTGATTGTTAAGATTACGGGAAAGTTAATGTCAGAATTAGACATTTTAATACTTAGAGTTATCTTAAATTTAATAATTAAGGAAATGGTGTGGGATTGTCGATTCCATTATAAGACGCAATTAAAGAATTTTAGAAAACTTATAATATTAAAAAGTAAAGTATATATATATATATATATTATTAGTATAATAAAATATAAAATTATTTAATTATAATTATAATTAATATTTTAAGAATATTTTTTATAATAAATTTAGTAACAATATAAACTTTTAATAAAAAGATGAGGTTAAGAAGTGGTTTTGCTTAAATAATGATTTAGTTTTGGAAAGTATAAGTAGAGAAGAATAATATTTACTTTCACTTAATTCTTTTAGTATTAAAGATTCGAAATTTAGTAATTATATGTGTGCTAATTAATAAGAAGGATATGTTATTGAGGATTTTTTAGGTATTTCAGATAGTTGTTTGGATGAAGGA